GGATCCGGCACTCACACATGCGTGCATATGCGTTCCAAACATTGATTGACAGTCACTTTTTGCTAGGTTATTCTTGGACACGATCTAGCTTGTATGACCCGTCGGCTTACTCGGATACGAGGCACCCTGCAGAGCTCATGAAGCGGCAACTCCGGGGGGAGTCTGTAGAAAACGGTAGTGGAAGCGGTAGCGGTAGCGGTAGCGGTAGCGGTAGTGGTAGTGGAAGTACCAATGAATTATTTGTTGCTGAGGTTGTTGCATACTTTGCCGATTCGGTGGCTGCTCTACTGGAAAGTTCAGGCCATGACGCCTCGCCGTTGCGCGTTGATAGGGATCTCGTTGCGCGGCAGGTTGCTGCAGGAACATTTGATGCTCGCGCACAGTTTCACGTTTTGTTTGAGGCGCTTGAACATAGTGGTACAGCAGACCGCGCAGACCGTGCACGGCTACTTCGCAACGTCCAGCGCAGAGTGTACCGAGGCATCAAGCCAGGGACATCTCAGGCCACAATGTATCTATCACTAGTTCCTCTTGTGGAATTTCTTGAAGTGTTGCATGTAGATGCTGTTAATTTGTCTCTTGTACGTAACCGTGAAGAGGTGGCTAAGATGGCGACGCTGGTTGAACTTGGAGCGTTTGTGGAAGATTTAAGAGAAGGCCAAGTACGTCTAACATTTTTGGAGCGTTGGGCAAGTGAAGAGCAGCAGGCAGCTGGAGGCAAATTAACGACGAGTATATTAAAGGCTGATGCATTTGAGCGCCGATTTTATTCGTTTATGACGAGCCCCAAGGTGGATAGGGCAACAGGTAATTTGGATCTTAGCGATCTGCCAGAAATATTTACACAGTGTCGTCGTTTGGTTGTGGATTATAAGCTTGAGTTACGCGATATTACGGCGGCTAGTGCACTTCTTTCGTCGGTGGCATTTGTTTTGGGTGCTCGGGCAACTCGTCTAGTGGACATGGTAAGACTTAAGAATGTGTTGGTTGAGGCATTACGTACGGATAGCGATGTACATGGGAGTGGAGTTGCCGGGACACTTGGGATGGCCAAGTATGTTGCTAAAGTGTGTAATGCGATTGTTGGTGGGATTAATAATGGTGATTCTGCTACACAAGTATGTGAGCTTGTTGTTGCGTCAGGAGTATTATTGCCCGAGTATACAGCGAATGGGGTGATGGAAGATGTTGAAGAGAAGGATGGTGAGAATGATGATGATATTTATTGGAATACGGGGGAACCTTATGGAATTGTTGATGTTGAACAAAGAGAGATAAAAAGTACGGATCTGAGGATTATTAGGAATCCTAGGAAATGGTTGGTACGCCGGGTATGGGGGGTTACACGACGAAGTGGTGATGATGCAATGATGAGGGCAGCATTAAAAGTAATGGAAAGACAATTGGTTAATAAAAATGATGATGATGAAGAGACTGGTTTACGAATGTTTGAAGAGGAAAGCCAGGTGGTTGTGAGACGAGTACGACGGTTATGGCAGGTTGTAAGTGGGACATATGCGCCAGTGCTTGAGGCAATGTATCGGGACGCGCGGCTGTGGCACGGGTATCTGGCATAGGCTGAAAGTTGTTACTTTTATTTGGTTATCATTTGGTTACCTTTTGGTTACCTTTTGGTTACCTTTTGGTTACCTTTTGGTTACCTTTTGGTTACCTTTTGGTTACTTTATGGTAAGCAATTGTGTTAGTTAGGGCTAGGGTAAATATAGTTATTAGTAACTTTGATTTTTAAATTTTTTAAATTTTTTAAATTTTTTATATTTTTTAAATTTATATGGTTGTTGACACACACAAAATAAAAAAAAATTTTTTTATTTTTTTTCTTCTTCTTTTTCTTTTACCAAATAGGCCAGCGAAATTCTTTGGGTAACAACAAACAGGTAGCAGTAAAATAAGCAATTTTTTTTTTTTTTTTTTTTTTTTTTTTATTGTTGTTGACATAATATTAAGAGACTCACAACATCTCATTACTATTACTATTACTATTTCTATTTCTATTATTTCTATTATTTCTATTACAATAAAAAAAAAAATTACAATCTTTTGACCCCCTTGAGAAATCTTTAAACATTACCACTACCACTACCACTACCACTACCACCATCATCATCAACAACATAAACATAAACAACAACCATTCAGGCACACTTTTTTTTTTTTTTTTTTTTTTTTTTTTTTTCTTCTTCTTCTTCTTCTTCTTCTTTCACTTGTGACTATTCTCTGAATTAATAACGAGATCATCATCTTATATATATATATATATTCTTTTAAATCATTTATCATGAGTACCTTACCAAACGGAGTCTCCGAAACTGTAAGTTATAACTATTTGTTTTTATTTTTTTTTTTTTTACTTGTTCTACTCCCCCCCTTACATTTATATTATATGTATATATATATATATATATATATCCCCTTCCAAAGGAATCATTAAGTCTATCCCACGTTGGTCAGACCTTATTCTTGATTTGCGAGAATTTATATATATATATATATATATTTTATTTTATTTTATTTTATTTAAAAATCTTTTTAACTCTTCATCTCCCCCTCTAACTAGTCTACTAACGAATCCTCCTCCTCGCTCTCTCCGTCTATCCAGGAATTGCTTGCTTCTTACCCATCCAAGTCTGCACCCAACTCAGGTACAGGCTACCCAGGAAACCTCACTACTGAGCAACAAAAGGCATTGGACCAATTACGTAGTATTCTGACAGAACTCGGATACTCTGATCGTCTGGACGATGCTTCACTTCTCCGATTTCTTCGTGCACGTAAGTTCAATGTGGAACTAGCCAAGGATATGTTTGTTGCATGCGAAAAATGGCGCGCAGAGTTTGGAACAAACACTATCCTCACAGATTTCCATTACATGGAAAAGGCAAAGGTCGCCCAGTATTACCCCCAATACTATCATAAAACAGATAAAGACGGCCGGCCCATCTACATTGAACAACTTGGGGCTGTCAAGATTCATGAAATGTATCAAATCACTACCCAGGAACGCATGCTTAAAAACCTGGTTTGGGAATACGAGGCCTTTACCCATTACAGACTCCCAGCTTGTTCCCGTCAGCAGGGTCATTTGGTTGAAACTTCATGTACTATTCTTGACCTTAAGGGCATTTCACTGACCACTGCTACCCAGGTCTATTCTTATATTCGTGAAGCCTCCAACATTGGCCAAAACTATTACCCAGAACGTATGGGCAAGTTTTATGTCATCAATGCTCCCTTTGGTTTTTCTACTGTTTTCTCCGTCATTAAGCGTTTCTTGGACCCCGTCACTGTTGACAAGATCTTTGTGCTTGGTAGCAAGTACCAATCAGAGCTTCTTAAACAGATCCCCATCCAAAACCTGCCCATCAAATTTGGAGGTAAGAGTGAATCTGTAGGAGGTGTTGAACTTGCAGATGATGGACCATGGAGAGATTCTCAGTATATTGGTCCCGAGGGAATGGCTCCTAGATCTTCAGCTGATACCATTCTTAACGCTGCCGCCACTGCCACATCTAGTACTACTACTACTGATGCTGCTGCTGCTGCTGCTGCTGCTGCTCCTGAACCCGCCACTGCTACTGCTACTGCTCCTGCTGCTGTGCCGTTGTAAGGTTTTTTTTTTTTTGTTTGCGGTTTTTTTTTTTTTTATTTTTTAATTTTTTTTTTTTTGTTTATCAAACTTTATTAATATGGTTGGTTTATCATTATTATTATTATTTCTTATTTTTTTTATTATTTAATTTAATTTAACTCTTAATTTAATTAACTTAATTGGTCACGTGAGCATTTGACGTCTTTCTGATGTAAAAAAAAAAAAAAAAAAATTCTTACCGCCTTTAAAAAAAAAAAATTAAAAAAATTAAAAAAAAATTAAAAAAATTAAAAAATAAAAAAAAAAAAAACTCCTCTTTTATCCGCCACCAAAATCCTTCCTTTATAAAAAAACAAAATAAAATAAAATAAATACACATTCATCTATAAAATGTCTACAAATGCACGAAGAAGACTGATGCGTGATTTCATGGTATGTTCATTAGTCTTTTTTTTTTTTCTCTTTCTCTTTCTATTTCTCTTTCTCCTTATCATTATCATTATCATTATTATCATTATTATCATTATTATTTTTAATTCCAATTCAACTAACCTTTCTAGCGCATGCAACATGACCCTCCAACTGGAGTTTCAGCATCACCAGTGGCTGATAATGTTATGATTTGGAATGCTGTAATTATTGGTCCTGAAGGTACACCATTTCAAGATGGAACATTTAGGTTGGCATTACAATTTGATGAACAATATCCTAATAAACCTCCACAAGTCAAATTTGTATCTGAAATGTTTCATCCAAATGTTTATCCAACAGGTGAATTATGTCTTGATATTTTGCAAAATAAATGGTCTCCAACTTATGATGTAGCAGCAATCTTAACATCTATTCAATCATTATTAAATGACCCTAATACTGCATCCCCGGCTAATGTTGAGGCTTCTAATTTGTTTAAAGATCATAGAACTCAGTATATTAAACGAGTTCGAAGTACAGTAGAGAAAAGTTGGGTGGACGATGATGATGATGATGACGATGATGATGACGATGAAGATGATGATGATGATGAAGATGAAGACGATGACGAGGAAGACGATGAAGATGATGAAGAAATGTCTGGAAATGAAAAATGATACCATTAAACTCTTTTTTATACCATATTTCTATGTTTCTCTTACTTTTTTTTTTTTTTATCATTACTCTTGTACAATATACTTTGTTTATTTTTATATTTATTATCTTTTTATTTTTTATCTTTTTATTTTACTTCTTTTCCATAGGGAACTCAGATGGAAATGCAAGCTTACCCTCAACACGCGGATCAGTCCACATGGGACCCTTTTCTGGTGCCACCAAAAGCCCTCGGCCTTCCAACAATCGGAACTGAACACCCTTTAAAAGATTGTACACAACTGAAAGAATAGGTGTGGGGACTCCCAAGCTTCTAGCAATCCTTAATGGGTTACCCAAAATCACCTCCAACTCAATCGGATTACCCTTCTCAATATCGATCTGCATGCTGGGCTTATAATACAATCCTTCATCTGCACGCAACATGGTCTCACATAACGATTCAGGGAACTCGTAGCCGGCAGCTTTGGCAGTTGCCAGAATCTCATGCATTGCAGGAACAATTACACTTGTATCAATGCTTGCTAAATAGCATCGACCAATATCTAGTTGCATCAACCCACACATGGTGTTGATGGTTGAGTTGTAGACAAGTTTGCGCCATCTTGCCTGTTTCACATCTTCTGCGTATTTGCAATCAACCCCAGTAGTCGCGTACATGTCAACAAACGCGCGCGCACGTGCCTCTTGTTGTGCGGCAGGAGTTTTTGCATTATCGTAGTATCCGACCACCAACCGGTCATGTTCATACTGTTCAATTCGACCTCCAAAGTTGTGTGAACCAATCATGGAAACGCCTGAAAGAACCACGGCACCAGGGAACGCGTCAATAATGGGTTGCTCAATGCCAATTCCGTTTTGGATCAAAACTACAGTGGGATACTGTGTTGCAGAACCTTCTTCTTCTTCTTTCACATTATTGCCTTTTTTATATTGTCGTGGTTTCATAGCTGGTGCTATAATGTCTTCTGTTTTGACTAAATCTGGGAGAGCCTTAATGGCCACCACAATGTAATCAAAAACTGAGGCATCATCATTATTATTATTTTCTTCAGAATTGTTGTTTTCAGTCCATCGTTGTTCAAGTCCAGTCACAGCATCAGCTACTGATTTGACAACATGGGATGGTCGCCAGCCTTTAAGGTTCCCATGATCAACTGAATTAATTTCAAATCCGTGAGCAATGACTTTATCATAGTCTGAACGTAGTACAGATGTGACTGCGGCTTTGCGTGAGTGTTCAAGGGCAACTGAAGCAACGGTTCCGACACCTCCGGAACCTACCAGAAGAATGTTTTGTTTGCGTGGAGTGGTCATTTTTTATATGTTTTGTATATTTAGTTTAATTTAGTTTGGTTTATAAGTTTGAAAAGAAAAGTAAAAAAAAAAAAAAAAAAAAGAAAAAGAAAAGGGGAGGAAAGAAGTAGGTTTTTATTGTGGTTCTTTTTTTTTTTTTTAAAAAAAGTATTTATATATATAAATATAAATATATATTTAATATATTTTTTTAGGGGCGGTTACAGGGGGGTGGGGTTGAATATTTATATATTTATATATTTATATATATATATATGTAAATACATAAGGCTAAAACTACTGTTATAGTTAATTATTTAATCAATCAATCAACTAATTAATTAATAAATCAATTATGAATATCAAAAAAATATCTCTTTTTTTTTTTTTTTTTTTTTTTAGGTGGATGGTTGGAGATTCCTTTCAATAATAATAATAATAATAATAATAATAATAATAGAATTGGGTGTGTAGTGGTTTTTTTGTTTTTTTGTTGTTTTCTAGCGATACCGGAGCGATTTCAGTTCTTCTTCTTCTTCTTTTTATTATTATTATTCTTGAAAGGAAATAATGATGAAAGGTGTAAACTTTAGTTTATAAAAAAAAATTGATTTTGAAATTAATAATAAAATAAGCGATTTCGCTTGATTGAAGATTGATGGGGAGGGGAGAAAAAAATAAATAAATAAATAAATAAAAGTCCTGGGTGTGTCAGTTGTATTGTTGATTTTACTCAGGTCGTTTATTTATTATTTTATTTTATTTTATTTATTTGATATATCTTCAATTAAAACTTATATAAAAGATTTTATTTATTTATTTAATTATAATTATATAATTATATAATTAATCTAAAAGAACTACCATTTATCTGAAGAATTGGATTAGTTCTTTATCATCATATATCTATCTATTTCTATATATTTATATTTATATATATCAATAATATATTTATGACTTGAACATCAGTCGGGTATCATAAAGAAGAATTTAAAGTATTTAAAGGCAGGTTTCCGCGATTTAAAAAGACACTTTTTTAAAAAAAAAATTAAAAAATAAAAATAAATAATTTATTGAAAAAAAATAAAAAATAAAAAGTTTTTTTTTTTAACCGCCCTGTCGTTGAGAACCGTCCTTTAACGGCGTTAACGGCTTGCGATATCGGGGCGCCGTTCCGCTTCTTCTTCTTCTTTTTATTTTTATTTTTATTTTTTTTATTTTTTTTATTTTTTTTATTTTTTTTATTTATTTTTTTATTTGTTTTTAATTTTTGATTTTCAATTTTTATTTCTCAAAAGAACTAGTTTAGATGAAAATGACAAAATAGGAAAAAAAAAAGAAGAAAAGAAGAAAAGAAGAAAAGAAGAAAAGAAGAAAATAAAAGAAAATAAAAGAAAAGAAAAAAAAATTTTTTATATCTATAGTTGATATATAAAATTTTTTTATAAATTTTGATAATAAAATAAAAGAATCAATACCCATTTTAATAATATCCTTTTAAACAAGTATATAACTTATTATACCAAAAGATATATATATATATTTAAAATAAAAAGGAAAATCAACAACATGGTAGCATTCACTTAAACAACCCAACTCTTGATTAAATCCAAGATCTTTTATCTTTAGATACCTTATGATTACATTCTTCTCAAGAAAACTACTACTAAAGTCTTTCTTGGTCATTGAAACGATTATAAAACATGGATTAACCAATATTGGTTTTTTTTTTTTTATCTTCAACATCAAAATACCTGATATACTAAATATCTATAATGACTCTTAAACAAGTGTATCTTCCAAAAAAAAAAAAAAAAAAAAAAAAAAAAAAATTAGCCATCAAGTACGTGTGACACAAAAAAAATGTGTGATATTTTCTTTTAGAAACATACCCTATATTATCAAATATGATCCTTGATATCTCACCAAACATAAAAATATGATTGATCAAAGTTTTGAAAAAAAAAAACAAAAAAAAAAAAACTGGTCTTATAATGAAACGAAAGCTAAGGAATGGGAGAAGATGGGGGTCTGTTAGTCAAAGCATTTTATTTATTTTTGGCAAGAAGTCTTGAATAATTTAACCAGAATCTGCTCTGTTCCTTTTTTTTTTTTTTTTTTTTTTTTTTTGTTCTTAATATATATATATCTTTTCACAATAATCTTTTAATTTGACTTTAAATAAGTCTTGATATCAGTTTACTAGTAGCAAGGAATAATCAAAAAGATCAAACCTTCCTAACTTAATTCCATTTGTATTTATCAATGCTATTAATTGTATTTTTTAATCGCTCTAAGCAAAGAGATAATAAAGCTTACAATCTTTTGAAAAAATAGTTTTTTTTTACTATTTAAGAGTTTTGACATATCTATCTATAGAGACATCCTTTTCAACTATTCATTAAATGAATAGTTTTGAACAATAAAAATTCATTTACAATTTCAAGATCAACTTTTTAAAACTAATTGATTATAATCAATTAAGTACTTTTATATATATATATTTATTAAACATAGATTTAAAAAAGAAAAATAAAATAAAACGGAAAAAAAAAATTATTTTTTTATCTTTAGAAAAGATAAAAAAAATAATAATAGCCCTACGGGGGGCTCGAACCCCCAACCTTGAGATTAACTCTTATTAAGAGTCTCACGCTCTACCGATTGAGCTAGCAAGGCAACTAACTTAAAAATGTAAAAGAATTTAATAATTGATAAAACTTGAAATAAAAATGTAGTGTATAGACTGTTAAATGTGAGACATTTTTTTAGGTATAATTATTAAATAATGCAAAAAAAAAAAATAGACAATGTGAGACTTTTGTTTTATGAAACAAAAAAAAAAAAAAAGGTTTAAAATTTAAAATCTTTAAGAATTTTTACGTAGAAAAAAAAATAAAAACAATAATTAAAGTTTGTTTTCTCTCTTTTTTTTTTTTTTTTCTATTTTTTTCTATTTTTCTATTTTTTGTTTTATTTAAAAGTGTTATAATTATATAAATTACCTTTAATACATTTTTCACTTAAGAAGACAGAGATTACAAATACTTTCCCTTTTTAAAGAGATTTTATTTTATTTTAAAGAAAAGAAAAGAAAATTTCATCACGCATCATGAAAATTGGGGTTTTTTTTTTTTAATAATAAAAGACACTCATGTGTGCACACTTCCATGTATTATTACGTTTTAGTATTAAATTTTTATTTTTTTTTATTTGCAACTTTAAGCAAAAGAAGTTTAAACGGTGATATTGTTATGACAGTGATACAAATTAAATGTTCATATATATATATACATGAAAGAAGAAGAGTTTTGTTTTTTTTATTATTATTTCTCCAAATTGAATTTAAAATGCTTTCTCTATTAATAATCCGGGAATAGGTAATCAACATTTAACAAATTTTTTTTTTCTTTTCTCGCCTGGTTATGATAATCTTCATGTTATTTGTTAATAATTATTAAAAAAAAAAAAGGTTAGCTTTCTATTCAGTTTTTAAGATTTACTTGCATTTCTTCTTAAATATATATAAAGAAAGAAAGAATAATTGCATTTTAAAACTATTTGCAATGGCCGTTGCCCTGGTTTATCTGCAAGAAAAGGGTTTTTTTTTTCTCAAGTATTTCTTTAATCTACTGAGGCTTTTTTTTCCTTTAAGTTGCTATGTCTTATGCACTTTTTCAATCAATCTATCTATCTATCTATTAACCAGTCACAAACTGTTTATTGTTTTTTTTTTGACATAATAATAATAATAATAATAATAATAATAATAATAATAATAATAATAATAATGATGATGATGAATATCTTGTTTAAGCATGAATAAAAATACTGAGTTTGTTAATTGCAAAAAAATAAAAAAAAATAAAAAAAAATTCTTTAGATCTCTTTGTTTATATAAACCATTGTAGGGATTATTAAAAAAAAAAAAAATAAAAGTCATGTCCGAGAAACAAAAAAGAATTAATTTTTTTTTTTTTTTTTTGGTTTTTGTGGCTATTTTTACATTTCCTATTTGGGAAACTTGAGAAACCTTGGTTAAAAATAAAATTATTTCTTTAAAAGAAAAGCAAAAAAATATATATATATATTGCTGCTCTGTTTACTTTTTTTCTTTCTTCCCACCAGCCCCATGAAAAAAACAATCAAATTTCAAAATCAAAATTATATTATATATTAATTATATTAATTATTAAAAAAGCAACAAAGTGAGGTAGTAAATGGGTGAGGGAAACCAAACAAAAAAAAAAGTCCCTATATCCTCATTCATGAAATGTGTACATGTATCATTTTTTTTAATCTTTTTTTTCAATTTTTTTTTTTTTTTTTTCAATTTCTTAGTACTCAGCATCCTGGCCAGGGTTGGCAGTTTCATAATTGAGATACTTGAGAATGTAATGCAAAAGGGCTGAAAAGCCAGATCCAAGAATGGGGCCGACCCAGTAAATCCAGTGGTAATTAGGGAACTCACGCTTAGCAATGCATGGGCCAAATGAACGGGCAGGATTAAGACCGGCACCAGTGTAAAAGACGGCAAGCAAATGTCCAATAAAGAGAGAAAAGCCAATGACCATTGGAGCCATAAAGGTAGCACGGTGTTTTTCAACAGCCATAAAGAGAACAGTAATACAGAGCATAGCAGTACCAAACATTTCAATGAAAAGACCTTGAGTACGAGAAGCACCACCTCCAAGACCATTGGCAAAGGCAATGGGTCCAGGAGTCATTGCAGAAACAGCACCAGCGGCAGCCATACCAGCAGTCATTTGAGTGATCCACAAAAGAACAGCACGGGTTGGTGTAATTGCACGAACAAGCATGAGGGTGAGAGTAACAGCTGGGTTAAGTTGACCGCCAGAGATTCTAAAGAAGATAAAGACATTGACCATGACACCAAAGCCAAAGCCAAAGGAAATCATAATGAGTTGTGCTGGGTTTGAATTAGGAGATTCAATAGTCTTATCTTGGTTGGCAATCTGGGCAATAAAGAAGGCAAAGAGAAGAAAGAGAAAGGTACCGACAAACTCGCCAATTACGGCAATGAGATGGTTGCGGAGGCTGTCTGGGAGTCCCAAGATACGTGGGGGAGGAATGTAACCGATATTAGAACCTTTTGGTTCTTCAGTTGATGGCAATATACCGTCTGACATTGTTGTTGTTTTAAATGTGAAGGGATGTTGTTTATTTGAGGTGAGATTTAAAGAGAGGATGGAATTATGTTAGATACAAGAAAGAGAGAAAAAAAAAAAAAAAAAAAAAAGAGAGAAAGATAGGAAAGAGGTAGGGATTATATATCAAGTAAGAAAAAGAGGTATATATTGATTTTATTATTATAAAGAAAGAAAGAAAGAAAGAAAGAAAGAAAGAAAAAAAAAAAAAAAAAAAAAAAAGTGTTTGTGTGTGTGTGGTTCAGTAATATTTTTTTTTTTTTATGGAGGGGAAAGTAAATTGCACATTTTGAATTTTGAATAGTAATAGAAATAGCAGTAAGGCTTTATTTTTTTATTTTATTTTATTTTATTATTATTTTATTATTTTTTTTAAGAACTAAAAATAACTAAAGAAAGAAAAGATTTAAAGAAGCCACCGCCTGCCTGTATTGTCGAGGACAAAAAAAAAAAAAAAAAAAATTATAAAGAGAAGAAGAAGAAGAAGATGTTAACAAACAGCCTTGCGGGATCTTTTTTTTTTTATTTATTTATTTATTCTTTCATTATTTTTTTTTTTTCATTTTTCCATAATTATAATTATTATAATTATTATTATTATTAAATTGCTTTAAAGTTTGATAGTAATAATAATAATAATAATAATAATAATAAATGAATTTTATTCTTTTTGTTTGTTTGTTATTAGTTGAATTAGTTGGTTTCACTTTGTAAATTTGAGTATTCGGTAAAACATTTGGAAGTTTAAAAAAAAAAAAAATTTTTTTTTTCTTTCTTTCTTTCTTTCTTTCTTTCTTTCTTTCTTTCTTTCTCAAACAGATTTTTTTTTTATTTTTTTTTTTTTTTAATTTCATTTCATTTTCTTTTATATATAAATATAAAATGTTCAATCTGTATGTTTTAGTATTAAAAAAAAAAAAAGAGAGAAAGACGAAAATATCAATTTGAAAGTTTTTAATTTTTTTTTTTTTAAATTTTTTACAATTTTACATAAATAAAATGTCAACATTATAGTGAAGTAAATTACGTAATCTTATAATTATCTTGTTTTAATTATTTTTATTATTTTTATTATTTTATTACTTTTCTCTCTTTCTCTCTTTCTCTCTTTCTCTCTCTTTAAAAATCCAATTGAACTTCTCTTCGACTTTTTATTTTTTTTTAAAAAATAAATTACTTTAGTAGAATTAGTATGTATATATATATATATATATATATATATATATATATTTGGTAAAAAGAAGAAGTAAAAAAAAATAAATCAAATTTCCTTCAAAGTATTTATTTGTGTGATGATGATATATAAATCAAGGCGTTTTGCACTTAGAATATTAGGATCTTCCAAGGCAGAATACCCAAATTAGAACAAAAAATAGTATATTATATGGAAAAATGAATTTAAAAAAAAAATGGCTTTGTTAGAAAATAAAATAAAAAAAATCCAAGACAAAGCGCCTAAAGGATGTAAAATATTAAAAAAAAAAGCACAGACTTATATATATATATATATATATATATATATATATATAATTAAATATAAAAAAAAAAAAAAAAAAAAAGAAGTTAAGACTTATGCCTTTTATTTTTTATGTATTTTTAAAAAAATAATAAAAAATAATAAAAATCCGCCTTTAGGTAAACGCCAACTAATTTTTTTGTAGAATTTAAATTGTAATGATCATCATCATCTTCATCTTCTTCATCAATTATCAATTATCAATATTCCACTATTTTAAAGATCTTCTTCTTCTTCTTTTTCTTTATAACAACGAAAGTTGATAGAAACATATATATAGATCTTTCCTTCTATATATGCATAAACTTCTTCAATCTTTTCCCCCCTTTTTTTTTTTTTATCTTAATGTTTTTTTTTTTTTAGACATGTTCTAGAAATTGTTGTTTGTTATAGATTTATGCAAATTTGATATTAAAAAAAAAAAAAATAAATAAAAAATGAATCTCAATTCTAACGGTCTTTTTTTTTTTTTTTTTCTTTCTTTAACAGCCTTCATTTCGTTTCTTTACTTTTCCATGCCTTTTCCTCTTTCCCCTTAATTTTTCTTATTACAATACTATTGTTCTAATTAAATATAAAACCTTTTTTTTTTATATATATTTTCATTTCTTTTAAAATTCGGTTTATCTTTATCTTTCATCTTCTTCTTAAATCTATTTTCTCTTTCTTTTTTTTTTCATTCCAAAACATGATTGACAAACTTATCAATGTGTCTTTTAAACTTATTGTCACATGGGAATATAAAATGTCTTTATCAATTATGTTTTAAAATTCATTTTGTCTTTCATTTTTTTTCCCCTTTTTTTTCATCTTCTTCATTTTTTTCGTATCAAGTATATTATGTTTTTTTTTTCTTATTCATTTATGCCCACTTTATTCTTGATTGTTCTTTTTAAAAATAAATAATAAAAGAAATAAAATCAATCAATCAATCAATCAATCAATCAATCTACTTTAAAATCTGCCTTTTCTTTTCATTATTTTCGCGTATAATTAATTCAACCTTATTCAAAGTATTAGTATCTTTTTTTTTCTTCTTTAAATATACTTGAAACTCAAAAGAAAAATTTACCTTCTTTTTTTTTTCTATTTTAATTCATCCTTAATCTATCAATTGAAAAAAAAAAAAAAAAAAAAAATTTTATTTAATAATTTAAATCGTTAAAAATAGCAATTGCTTTTAGTTTTTTTTTTCTCTATTCACTCTTTTTTTTTTTTTTTTGTCTCTCAAATATCTTTTTGAATAAATGATTTATTTATTTTATTTTTTTGGCATCCCATCATGACTTTGTAAACTACACGCCCCCATAAAAAAAAAAAAAAGGGTATCTGTCAACTTCAACCGCCAGGACCACCAGGGGAAAAAAAAAAAAAATTTAAAATTAAATTTTTTTTTTTTTTTTCAAAAAGTACTTTTAAGGCATTCTTTTTTTTTTTTTATTTTATTAAATAAAAATACTTTTAAAATCATTTTTGATTTTTATTTCAATTCTATTTTGATCAATTTTAATCACTTTCTTTTATATATATATATATCATTTTCTCAATTAACCAGCAAGGCTTTTATTATTATTATTATTATTATTATTATTATTATTATTATTATTATTATTATTATTATTATTATTATTATTATTATTATTATTATTATTATTATTATTATTATTATTATTATAATAATTATTATTACTCAACAATAATATCATCTCGACAGGCTTTCTACTTTGGCTAAGCCGTAAGGCTTATTTTAAAGTTAATTATTTGGTCTACCACTACCACTACCACTACCACTACCACTTATATTAGTACCAATACCAACCTATTCACATACAAAAAAAATTACTTTTTTTTTATATTTAAAATAAATTTATTTTTTAAATCTTTAAAAAAACAAAAAATCTCTTGTTGACGTCTTCATAAAACGAAAAAAATAAAAATAAAAAAAATATTTTTTTTATATTTTTTTTTTTTTTAAAAATTTCCTTCTATGTTCTTCTTCTTCTTCTTCTTTTTTTTTTTTTACTACATTAATCTATACATCTCAATGCACCCACCCCACGCTAAGACTCACTTAAAAAGTAAACAAGGACCTTTTTTTTTTTTTTTTTGGAAAAACTTTAGCGAGAAGACGTGAGCGGGATCCGTGAACCACTGTTGATAATAATTATGATGATATTTATTATAATTATAACTATGATTATGATTACAATAATGTTAATGTTTAATGGTAATTACTATTCTACTATTCATATTTCTTTTTACTTCAATTAATTAACCCGTCTTTTTTTTTTATTTTAAAACAAAAAAATCAAATCAAAAGAAGAAGAAAAATAAATTATTAAAATAAATTATTTGATTAAAAAAAATATATTTGAAAAAAAATTAAAATTAAAATTAAAATTAAAATTAAAATTAAAATTAAATTAAAATAAAATAAAATAAAATAAAATAAAATAAAATAAAATAAAATAAAATAAAATAAAATAAAATAAAATAAAATAAAATAAAATACGGGAAAAGTTATTTCCACAAATGTCCTTTTTAGTTTTATTTTTACTCAAAATATTATTATATTATTATAATTCCCAATTCTGGCGTGACTCTAAAATGGGTCTGGAAACCCCAGCCAGATAGATAGCCACTTAATTATAATTATAATTATAATTCTATCCACATCATTCTATCCACATCATCATTCAAATCATACACATCATCATTACCAACTGACCTTTTTATTTTTATTTTTATTTTTTTACTTTTCCTGCACTAAATGTCGATATACTGATTATGTTGTCTACAAAGTTAAACTGCTCGAACCAATTGTACTTTTGTTTCAAAAATAAATAAAAATACTAAACATGACCGTTTCTCTTGCCTCTTTTTTCTTTTTTTAAGAAATAAATCCTTTGGTGCATCTTCATCATCATCATCATCATCTTCATCATCATCATCATCATTAGAGATATTAAACTTAATGTACATTCCCGTTCAGGTTCCGCTATTAAATTTTTTTTTACTTCAATTTTTTTTTTTCATTTATTTTTATAAAATTTTAAATAAATGAAAAAAAAAAATGGCATTTTGATGTTTTGGTAAAGTGTGTGGGACAAATTGTAATTTTTTTTTTCTTTCTATTATTAATTAATAACTAATTGAGTTAATTTTTAAGTCAAATTTAATATTATTAATAATAATAATAATAATAATTAAAATATCCTTCTTCTTTAACCTTTTTTTTTTCTCTCTCTCTCTCTAATGTCCATTCGGGAAGTGGTCAGTTAAGTCTACCAGTGTGAAACTCTCTCATGATGTATTCATTCACCAACCTTTTTTTTTTTTTTTCAATTAAAATCAGTCATATTATTATTTGCACTATTTCCAAGTAATGAAATAAATGAATTTACTTAATCTAAACCTTTTATGGAAATCCTCTTAGCACTTTAACATACTTTCAATAATTACTACT